GCGACACGGTCGTACGGAAAAATGTCGTACGATTTTTTTTGCCGTACGACCTCCTGTTCACACTAGAGCTACCAAATACATTTCTTTGCTTTCCGACTGTCGTACGGTAGATGTCACTGTGTGTGTTCCTAGCCTTAGGAGGCTCCATATACATCGCGTATTACTCACCTCTATAATCTGATAAGCGTCCTGTTGAGACAGGTTCCTGGTTCCGTTAAGATAGAAATCTATAAACTTCTCGTACACGCCATCGGCTTGAACTTTCGTCAGTTTCTTAGGCAGGAACAGGAAACTTTTCGTGAACTGTTCGAAGTTCTTGTTCCAACGGGCGCGTAAACGGTTCAGATTCAAAATGGCTGGAACAGAACATGTTTGCTTCGTACAACGAACCTCAAGATAGAATATTTTTTCTTTGATTTTAGTTCTCCAATAATTCTTTTTTAATTCAGTGATTTATTCCAGCCGTCTTACAGTGCATACACTCATTCACCTCACTCTTCACTCCTGCACTACATGTTTCGGCACAAAGGTGCCATCTTCAGGTGCCCTTCGATTTACGTTAAACTACTTCACTGCATGCCTTGCCGTCTTCATACCAAAATAACTAAAATATGTTCATCATATATATTGATAAATATTAAATATTAAAAATATTAAAACTGTTCAGGATTTTTCATCCCTACGTCGCATCTCAATACGCGAGTCACACCTATCCTCTTCTATCGGAGCACTCTTCCTACTTTCGTGTGTGTATCTGGAACGTGAAATTGTTATTCATTAATACCNCCTAACATTTTATGGGACCCCGAGGTTTATTACCGTGTTCACAAGGGCCCTCCACTGGTTCATATTCGGAACCAGGTCAATCCACTCCATACAACCCCATTCTTTCTCTCTAAGATCCATTTTAATATTATCCACCGACCTACTTCTTGGTCTTCTTAGTGGTCTCTTTCCTTCTGGCTTTCCCACCAATGTCCTACATGCATGCCTCTTCTCCCCAATTTGTGCTAATTGCGCTGCCCATCTCATTCTCCTTGACTTGATCGTTGTAATTATATTTGACAAAGAGTTCAAGTTATGAAGCTCCTCATTGTGCAGTTTTCTCCAACCTTCCATCACTTCATCTCTCTTTGGTCCAAATATTCTCATGTTCATGATTTATTCCAGCCGTCTTACAGTGCATACACTCATCTACTTCACTCTTCACTCCCGTACTACATGTTTCGGCACAAAGGTGCCATCTTCACACACATACCCAGCAGGCCCAGCAGTATAACACACGCAGTCACAGGAGCAAGACACAACACAAAGCACAATACACACACGAAAGTAGGAAAAGTGCTCCGATAGAAGAGGACAGGTGTGACTCGCGTATTGAGAGGCGACGTAGGGATAAAAAATCCTGAATATTTTTAATATTTAATATTTATCAATATATATGATGAACATATATTTTAGTTATTTTGGTATGAAGACGGCAAGGCATGCAGTGAAGTAGTTTAACGTAAATCGAAGGGCACCTGAAGATGGCACCTTTGTGCCGAAACATGTAGTGCAGGAGTGAAGAGTGAGGTGGATGAGTGTATGCACTGTAAGACGGCTGGAATAAATCATGGACATGAATCAGTGCAACAGGACGCTAAAATATAACTTTTTTAATTCGCTTAGTGGTGGGGGGGGAGTCGAACTGGGTCCACTCGGCACGGCGGCCACTGATTGGCCTGCTGTAGCCTGCCCCTGGTGATTATGATGATAGAGAATTTGGTGGAATGAAAATTGGCAGGGGAAACCGAAGTACTCGGAGAAAACCTGCTCCAGGGTCACTTTGTCCACCAAAAATCCCATTTTACCTGACCCGGGATCGAACCTCGTTCTCCGCTGTGGGAAACAAGCGACTAACCGCTTGAGCTATGGCGCAGTCTAGGTAAAGAGGTTAGTCAGGGTCATTCTTGCTAAGTGCTCCATTCTGGTTTCTCGCTTCGGATATTTTTCGATTCTGAACCGAAACATCGGTTTACTTTTAACGGACTACACGGCGTTATATCCAAGAAGCAATTAGTTGCCAGAGGATGCATATGCATTCTACATGTTCAAATACTGTTCAGATGCTGTTGAAATGCAGACTTCAATAAAACCTTGGGGGTTTTCATGATAGTCATTGTTTAGGTCAAAAACGTTTCGGTTTTTTCATAAAACACCGACGTTTCGGAGGGAAAATATTTCTTCCTTTTTCGTAATTAAATTGTGTTGAATAAGGACCTATAGGGGCGACTCTCTCTCGCCTGGCCACTGAGCCCTGCTTCATGTGGTAACACACAAACACACGCTAGAAAGGGGCAGATCACTGAATAAGTCTGGGCCAATAGGAGCGAGCAGGAAACTAACTTTCTCGGTGGCACATTTTTGTGTTTCTCATATGAAGGAAATGGAGTTTTGACAAATATAGCCCTTTTTAGGGCCATAATATTGTTTCCCTGCTTACCCTTCGCAGGAGCCTGGAGAACTCAGTTGATATAGCGACTGGCTACGAGCTAGACTAGAGGGTTTCTATTCGTGGCAAGGGTAAAATATTTTTCTCTGCTCCACAACACCCAGACAGGCCCTGTGGCCCACCCAGTGTCCTACAGAATGAGTATCGGGGTAAATCGGCCGGAGCTACGAAGCTGACAAGTTGAAGAATGGTGGAGCTATACCTCAACTTCCCAATATATGTTCATGGCATAGTGCTTAATTAATTAAGTACAGAAACAATTTTTCTACTTACAGTTCTTATTGGGCTGTGCCATAGTTTGGGCGGTTAGTCGCTTGCTTCCCACAGCAGAGACCCGGGTTCGAACCTGGGTCAGTTCATGTGGGATATGTGGTGGACAAAGTGGCACTGGGGCAGGTTCTCTCCGAGTACTTTGGTTTCCCCTGCCAATCTTCATTCTACCAATTGCTCCACAATCACCCTCACCTATCATCTGGGGCTGGTACAATTGGCCAGAAGTGGGCGCATTACCAAGTGGACTCAGTATCACCCCACTAACAATAATAATAATAAAAATATACCGTTCGTACTGGCTTCAACTGGCGTCTACTGTGAGTCCAAGCGGTTTTCTTTCACGTAGCTTTCCTACGTAACCCAACCCAATTCTCACACCAGCATAATTCAACTATGAATATGGAAGCAGAATTGTCTCCGAAACGTCGGCGTCTGTCTATAAAGCTACATAATAGCACAACCCAAAATACTAGAGTCCGATAAATATTTAAGGTGTACCCTTTATATATACTCACGAACTATAAACGTTGACGCATCTTGGCTGTTGGCGCCCACGATCCATGGTATCTTTTTGAATTTGCCTGCCCGTATCAGATCCAGCGGGTCTCCGGGAAGAAACGGCTCAGGGTTGCGAAACGACTGCTGTTCCGGGCAGGGAGTGAACACCCTGTTACGCGCAAAGAGCGGTTCCTGCCGAAGCGAGAGACACAGTCAACACGACACGAACCAATGCGACTGCGCTGTGATCATGTGATCACTTCTGTATACCTAACGACCACCTGCGGTTCCCAGGGGATACATGCAAAGCAAATAACTACAGAGAATATATACGAGAGTACAACTCAGCAATGTGTTCACTCCAATGGGCTCGGAGATTACGAGGAAGAGTCAGTAAATAGGTCACAAATGGAAGTAAAACAGCTGTAATGGACGTAATAGGTTTTCTATGTGTATCACCAGGTAGCAGCACAGTCCAGCTTAATGAGCCTAGGTAGCAGACGCGCATGCGTACATTCAGAGGCTGGTTTCAGTAGTAAAAATGGCGACGACACTTGAGGAGTGTATCACCGAATAGCAGCGTTCTGTTGTGTTTTATTCGTGGGGAAAAAGACTCGATGCAAAGATATTCATAAAGAAATGTTTCCTGTTTACAGTTGAAAGCTTTTGTCGCGTAAATCCGTTCACAGCTGAGTGGCAAATATTTCGCTGATGAAAAGGTTGAGAAAGAGGTGCGGAAGTGGCTGAGACAACAGCCAAAAGACTTCTGTGCTGCGGGTTTCGACTCACTGGTAAAGCGATGGGACAAGTGTATCAGTGTTGGTGGAGGATATGTCGAGAAGGAGATTTTTTTCAGGTTCGAATATCACGTTTTACGTTTTATATCAATTTGTGACATATTTACTGACTTTCCCTCATACTCCATACTGTTTCCCGATAAGCAACCAGATTTATCATTTTTTTTAATTCGCTTAGTGGGGGATGGAGTGCAGTTGGGTCCACTCGGCATGGCGGTCACTGATTGGCCTATTGTACCTGCCCCGGGTGATTATGATGATGGTGAATTTGGTGGAATGAAGATTGGCAGGGGAAACCGAAGTACTCGGAGAAAACCCGCCCCAGCACCACTTTGTCCACCACAAATCCCACTTGACTAGACCCGGTCTCGAACACGGGCCACCTCGGAAATTTATTATTTTGTCTCAAAGCTATACCTAAACGGGGTAAGTAAACCAGGATACTGAAACCAATAATACCAAGGGCACATGACCAAGTGCGGTAATGATCTTACTGGATACTGAGACCAATTAAACCATTTGCTGAGTCATATAAACAAATGCATAAAATGCGATTAAATAAATATATAAAATGCGTTTATATTTAATTAATAAAATTTAATTAATGCTAAAACAGCTTGTGTTACGCCGACATGGTTAACAGAGCAATATATTGTTATATTTATTTATTAATTTATTTGTTGTATATTGAACAGAGCTCTTAATATGGGATAATATATCTTTGAATTATAAAATAATTAGTACACCATTAATTGGAAAGGATAAGGAAGGAAAAGGTCATAGCTTGATTGCGTTGTATTCCTGGCATTTGTGTGTATGGACTGAGAAAAACAAAGAGAAACTTCAGTCCGAACAGCCAGTGTCCCATTCAGAATTAAAATTCAACACAAATAACCTGTCAAGTGCGTCTAAATCGTGCTCGTTATAAGAAATGTTTACTGAGGATGGTGCGCGGAGGCAATATCGAAACACACAACACAATTCTGTGCCGTGCGGGTACTCTACAGTGTAGGTGCAAGGACCTACTTACGGAAGGATATGTCTTGACCAGTAGCACGGGATCGGTGTCCTTGAGACAGGCGACAATGGTCGACGTGTTGGCAGTGGAGCAGTTGACGAGCTTGGCCTGTTCCTGAGCCATACTCAGAGGGTCAGGGCAACTCGCCCAGGGGCTGATGGCAGTTCCAGCCATGGAAATAGCGCGGTGGAACAAACCTGCGAATAAGTGTGACCTCTTCAGGAAAATGCGGGGAGGAATATTATATCGTAGCATCCTGCATCCTGCTGCATTGTGTGTAGTGTGTCCTTTATTGTTTATGTAGTTTTTTGTGTTCTGTGTTTTGTTTGAGTGTGATGTGTTGTTTGTGTGTTGTGTCTTGTATCACCGCCACCGGGTAAAACCAATTAGCAGTCAAAATAAATAAAGAATAATTTAATTCTTTATTATTTATACACTGACCCAACAGCCACAAGGCCAATTACAGACAGAGTACAGTGTGGATAAAAGTAGTTACATATGGACAAACACAACATAAAGTCAAAGACTAATTAAAGGTAAGCACTGGAGTTAAAACATATTAATGCCATACGGAAACAACACAAAATAATAATAATAATAATAATTTAATTATCACAAATCTATGTTGTTATTGACAACTGAGAAACGTAAAGTATGAATATCAATTCAATTCAATTCAATTCAATGCTTTATTTATTTACGTGCCGAACTCAACAGCGGAGGCCAATTACAGAGTCAGCACGGAAAATATAAAACAACAAACAACAGACAATAATAAAAATCAAGACAATACACACATAGATAATAACAGGTCAAAAACGTTAAGTATTTGGAAAATTAAAAACAATT